AAGGAAGGAAGGAAGGAAGGAAGGAAGGAAGGAAGGAAGGAAGGAAGGAAGGAAGGAAGGAAGGAAGAAAGAAAGAAAGAAAGTCTTCACTTGGGTCCAGTAAGGATCTGTTGCTTTAGGATCACTACAAGTTCATGATTACTTATCAGCTTCAATTGATTGGACCCCATTGTACTGAAAAACAACATTCAGGTTTGTTAAGTGCCCTGTGAAGGAAAATTTTCCCTTTTATATCAGGAAAAAAAACTGCAGAAAAATGTGCACAGCATGATTCTATCTCAATAAAACAATAGGAAATACACTCTAAAGTTGTTGTGTGTATACTTATGCATGTTGGTATAAGCATAGAGTTAAGGAAGGATAGGGAGGCGCCCATGCAAAATTTCTTCTTTTTTCTTCATTTTTATTGATTTTGCCTGTAGAGTGTGTTGTTCCCTGTATGCTGATAAACCATCCTATTTTGCCTAGAACCCTGAGCTTCCTAAGGATATAGAACTTCTATTGCTAAACCAAAAGTCTAGGCACGAATTTCTTAGTAATGAGAAGCATGAATCACTTTTGAACTTTGAAAGCATCAAATAAAGAAATAAAAGTTGTCTTTGATTGAAGCAAATTATTTTTTTCTCTTGGCAAGTTCAGCTTATTCATTTTTTATTGGTTCTTTTTAGTTATATATGACAGTAGAATCGATTTTGACATAATTATCAAAGCATGGAATATATCTTGTTCGGATTCAGTCCCCAGGACCTCTTCTTCTCCTTCCTTTTCCCCACCCCCTGCTCCCTCCTTTCTATTGATCTTTCTGCCACTTGCCCATAGTTATTTTTTAATTAATTTCTTGTGGATGTACATGAATTTGGGATTCACTGTGGTAGATTCCTATATGGACATAGAAATGTTACATCAGATTCATTCCATTGTCTTTCTTGGTCCCATCGCCTGCTGCCTTCCCTTTATCATTTTGCAAGGTTCTCAGAAAAGAACTTCTAGCTCCTTTAAAAAAATATATATTGTCTAGTGGTGATGGCCTTTGGAAGTTCTATTCTGACAAGAACAGGAAGTGAGGTCATTGGCTGAGGGAGAAGCTGGTGGAGAACAGTGCAGGTCTTCTGAAGAGAGAAAGGCAATCTTCTAGGAGAGGGAAGGAGGAGCATGAGATGCAGGAGAGGTGGGATAGACTTTCTAGGCAGCATGAGGACCAGCTGTGGTTGAAAGTCATGAATTCAATGGGAGATCTGTCTGCACAGGTGTGAGCATTCCCTCAGCTCTGTGCCAATGCATATTTGTCCAAGCAGAGCATCTGGGTAACCTGAGTTTGGCTTCTCTAGTGTGGGTTTTTGCTAGGAGGGTGATAAGAAAGAGAGAGGCCAGGTGGGTGAGAGGGAGTACCACGATCATTTTTGGTGTGCCAACCTGATGCAGAGACAAATGAGGACAAAAATGAAGTTGGGAAACAGTGATAAGACGGTAGAAGGAGAGGCAGTGAAGTCGAATTAGGGAAGGTGGGGACATCAGAGAAAAGAGAGCAGAAAGATTAGAGTGTGGGGTCAGAGAGCAAGAGTGCATTCTGGTGCCTTGAAACCCAGCACTTGGTAAGACCTATTTTTCAGAGAAGCCACTAGGACTCCAGGTTGTGGCCATTCTGATAATATGTACAAATGATCACAGAGCAGCTCCTGACCCTGTCAAATCAACCCAGTGCTAATTTTAGAGACCCAGATTTCCTACAATGAACATTTAAAGACCCCATAACATTTGGAGGCATTCTGTAACATCTTATTCTTCTTGAAAGAAAAGAGACAAAGAAGAAAGATACGTTAACCAAAAATAGAATAAAAATAATGTGATTGAAAGAATACAAATTGTTATTTAAGCAGGGGGTGGAAATCTCCAAGGAAGCTCCTTAAAGAAAATGTTTACATTCATTTTTTTATATAAAAGGATTCATCTGACAATGTATTACAAACAAACCCCACAGCACTGTTGAGGATCTCAGCTGGAGTGAAAGGATAGAACGCAGACCAATTTATTGCCAACTGGTTTTAAAAAGTTATAGGCCCAGATCCAGGGGGAAAGGAGGAGGGAAGGAGTTAGTAGGTAAGAAACTCATATTTCTGATCATCAGTTGTGAACCAGCTTTGTGCTTAGCACTTCATAGAAATTTTCTTTTTTAATTCTAAAACTAACTTTATGGCAAATAAACTTGATGTGTTGTTAAGAAAAGTGAGGCTCGGTGAGCTTCGCCAATTACCACAGGTGACACAGCTCGTGAAAAGTAAGTCTAGATTTATCTGATTTCAAAGCCAATGAATGACACGTAAATAAATTCACTAGAACCTTTTTATACTTTTTTTTTCAAAATTCAAAAAATAGAAGCTATAGTAAGGCATTTTTCCTTGCCGCTGCCTATTTATTTAGATAACAATTCACAAAATTTAAAAATATAGACTGTGTGCTCTATATGTGTAGTAAGAATTGTAATGCATTCCACTGTCATGTATTTGAAAAAAAATAAAATCAATAAAAATAAAAAATAAAAAAATAAAGTTTCTAGGCCAGGTGCCTTCCTTCTGTGGCTCTTTCTTATTCTGCAATTCCTGAAAAAGTGATAAATGCAGTATTAAAAGCACTAATAATAAAAATTAGAGGATTATCTTCAGCATTTATGAACAGGTGGACCAAATTCAGCCCTCAAACCTATCTTCTGTGGTCATAATTGGGTATGAATTTGACAGGTTATATCATATCTAATGGACTTCAGGCTTGGTTTTCTCTTCCCAATGATCTTAAACCCCAGTTAGATTCATATATTTATGTTACCTGTCCAATCCTTGGAGGCATTTGTGTTTATAGCCCCTGAACATGAGGCTACAGAAAGCTTCTTCCAGCTCTCAGAATCTTTGGTTATTTGATTTAGAATTACTGCAATATGAACTCATATTAGTCAAAACTTGAAAGAAAAAAAAAAGTTTAACTCACAACTTAATATGAAGAAAAATAAATTCTTTTTAAAAACAAAGACTTTTTAATCATCAGAAGATATTAGTATTTGTGGGAAAGGCAAATTAGGGTTGTACCATTTCCTTAGCAGTTAACTGAAGGGAAATCTTTATGTTATGATTATATGTCAAGCAATCAACAAATGTCTGTTAGACATCAACACTGAGTGTAACCCTACACTACACACTGAGAAAAATTTTTAAAAGAGGCTTAATACGGAGCTGGGGTTATGGCTTAGGGGTAGAGCACTTGCCTCGCACATGCAAGGTCCTGGGTTAGATCCTCAGCTCCACATATAAGTAAATAAATAAAAGGTATTGTGTACAACTACAAAAAAAGTAAACTTTTTTTTTTTAAATAAAGAGGCTTAATACACGGATCTCACCATCCAAAAGGACACTTCAGATCAAGCTTATAAATTAACAATACATCGGCTTCTAACTTGGTGAGGTTTTCCAAAATTAGCAGAAACATTCAGAAAATACTAAAAATTATTTTTAAGAAATAAGTAAAATCAAGGAAATATGTTTTGGCAAGTTAACAATGTGTCATTCATGTCCATTTTGACCATTTTGACCATGAACATAAAATAACTGGCTTAGAATAAAAGTTTTTTCATTAACTTTATGAAATAAAAAATCACTCCTCTTGCCTCACACGCTCAGAGAAGGTGAGATATAATCCTTTATCTTTTCTTCTCTACTATAGGAATCTTTACTGAGAAAGTCAGATCGTCCTCTAATTTCCAAACACGAAGTATTTTTTTAATTTTGGTGATATTAGACAGAATTTGTCTATCTTGTTGCAAAGATAACCTGCTGACCAAGCCTCAATTCTTTTTGCATATGCCTGATAACCACTATTCGATGAGTGGATGTCAGTCTGGCAGTCAGTACTCAATAAATAGTAGATAATTTTTATTTTTACTTTTTTGACTCAGTTTGT